GTCCTCCTCGCCCTCGACCTCCTCGCCCTCGTCGTCCTCGCCCTCCGTCCTCCTCGCCCCCGCCCCCGCCCCTCGTCCCCCTCGCCCTCCGCCCCCCCTCGTCCTCGCCGCCCTCGTCCTCGCCGCCGCTCCTCCTCCGCCCCCCCCCCTCGCCCTCCTCGTCGCTCGCCCTCCGGCCGGAGCCGCACCGCTGCCGCCCGCCCGCGGTGCGCTCGGGCCGCCCGGGGCCTCTCCCCTCGCGGGGACCCCCTCGGGCGGCCGGCGCCGCCGCCGGCGTCGTGCCCCGCGCGCTCCCCGGCCTCGGGGCCCCAGCGCCGGGCGGTGGCACTGCCGCCTGGCGTCGAGAGTAGTGGCTCGGGCTGGACGGAGGGGGGGGGACTCTTCACGGCTGGACGCAGTGGCTCGGGCTGGACGGAGGCTCGGGCTGAAGTGGCAGGGGGCACCTTCAGCAACCCCCGACGTCTAGGATGCCTCTACCAAAATCGGGCCGGAACGAAAGGGGGGGATTGGGAAAGGGGGGGGTGCGAAATCTGCTGCATGCAGCTGGTTTTGGCCCCACCGAGGGGCCCATTCCCCGATAGACGGCCGCCTCCGGCGCCGGGAGGCGCCGGGAAGATCAGCTGCGCGAGCTGATTCTCCCCCCCCCTTTGCTATCCCCCCCCTTCGCCTGGCCCGAGTGGCGAAGCGTCCTGGCTTTGCCTTTTTATCGAGGGTGGACAGACCTCCCACCCTGACACGTCGATGAGGGAATTGGCCGTTTTCGGTTCGCGAGAGGGCGTCGCGGCCGTCATTTCTGCGGGTCCAGGGCCGGCGGACTCGGTCCCAGGCCGTTTTCTCTAAGGGCAGGTTTGCTAAAGGGAGGTCTGTCCGCCGCCGATTTTAGGCCCACCAGAGAATGTGCTGAGAACCTTTTTGGGCGGTCTGCACGGAGTCTTCTTGGAGCATGTCTGGCTGAGGCTGTCTTGGTTTCACACATCGAGCGCACGTTCTGAGAACGGTGGCTTGTTCTCAGAGCACGTTGGGGCTCTAGGAGAACGCTTGCGTGGTGGGCGGCCGGCAGGAAGGGCAGGACGGCTGGTCCCTGCTCGACCCTCTCCCCTTGCGAACCTCGGGCGGGTCCAGGATCGGGCAATACGTCGTGACGTCGAAGTTTGGGCTGGGCAGGGCCGAGGGTCAGAGAGCGCCCTCGGGCGGGTCTAGGATCGGGAAATAAGTCGTGACGTCGAAGTTTGGGCTGGGTAGGGCCTTCCTCTGCGGGACCACCAAGAAAGGCTTGTCGCGATGGTCAAACGCCTCGCCCGTGAAGCCGACGAAGAGGTGCAACATCCAGCCATTCGCTTCGCCACATGTCCAGAGTTGTGGCTCGACGCCAGCTTGGGCGAACAGGTTGGTTGCGCCCCTCGACGTCCGTTTGGGGTGTTCTGCAGGCCTGACGCCCCAGCCCTACTCAAAGTTTGGGGTTGGTGCGAGAGGTGCTTCCAGCGGGAGCTCACATCAAACTTCAGGATCGTTCCCTCCACTTTTCCGGCGTTCCCGTTTGGCGAGGCTCGGGTCCCCTCAACTGGAGATGGTGCCAACCCTGGCTTGAGCAGGCACCGTGCTTCGCGCGAGGGATCGGACATTTCCATCGGGCGGGGCTAGGACCGGATAAAATCGCGCAAGAGCGTTCTGGAACGCTCTCACAGCGTTCCAGAGCGCTCGGGAACGGCCGCGGCGCCCGATGCATCCTCTAGAACCGCCACAGGTCCAGGATACTCGATGAGACCCCGATCCGATTTTGGCCGAATCCTACTCCTCCTCCTCCGCCTCCTCCTCCTCCTCCGCCTCCTCCTCCTCCTCCTCCTCCCCCTCCTCCCCCTCCTCCTCCTCCCCCTCCTCCCCCTCCTCCTCCTCCTCCTCCTCCTCGGGCTTCGTCCTATAGAACCTCCCCCCCCTGCCCCCCCCCTCGCGAACCCATGGGAATCCCTGCGGGCACCCGCGCCCCCCAGGCCTGCCCCGAGATCGGGTGCCGTGGCAGTGTTTTCGCGCCGAGCCTTCTCGCCGGGCTTGGGGCCCGCGAGTCTGAAAAGTCCTCCTCCTCCTCCTCCTCCTCCTCCTCCTCCTCCTCCTCCTCCTCCTCCTCCCTCCTCCCTCCTCCTCCCTCCTCCTCCCTCCTCTCCTCCTCCCTCCTCCTCCTCCTCCTCCCTCCTCCTCCCTCCTCCTCCTCCTCCTCCTCCCTCCTCCTCCTCCTCCTCCTCCTCCTCCTCCTCCTCCTCCTCCTCCTCCTCCCCCCCCCCTGCGAAGCCCCTGCGAGGAGATCGGGCGTCTTTGCAATGCTTTCACGCCGAGCCTCTTCGCCAGGCCTGGGGCCCGAGAGTCTGGAAAGCTGTTGGCAGAGTGCACGAAACGTGCTGCGCGAGGATGGCGCCTGGGGCTCTGGGCCGTGGCCGTGGCTTTTGCTCGCGGTGCCGCATCCTTTTCGCAGCGTCGGATCTCGGTCGGCGGCGGGCGAGGGGGGAGCGTGAGAGGGGGCGGGACTTCTCAGAAGGCCCAGAAGTCCACCTGCCTTTCGAGAACTTGTTCTGAGCCTTCCCCGAAGACACAGAAATCTCCTCAGGCGAAGGCTCCTGAGAAGTTCCGCCGCCTTCCGAGAAGGCCCTCTCCTTCTCGTTCCCCTCCCTCGCTCGCCGCCGAGTCTCGCGATGCTGCGTCTTCTTCGCAGCCTCAGGTCTCGGGGTCTTGCGAGCCCCTGCGAATCCTCCTCCTCCTCCTCCTCCTCCTCCTCCTCCTTCTTTCCTCCTCCTCCTCCTCCTCCTCCTCCTCCTCCTCTCCTCCTCCTCCTCCTCTCCCCTCCCCCTCCTCCTCCTCCTCCTCTCCTCCTCCTCCTCCTCCTCCTCCTCCTCCTCCTCCTCCTTCCTCCTCCTCCTCCTCCTCTCCTCCTCCTCCTCCTCCTCCTCCTCCTCCCTCCTCCTCCCCCCCCCCTGCGAAGCCCCTGCGAGGAGGCGCCGGCGCCCCTGGCCCGGGCGCGGGGGTGCCGGCCACCGCAGGTGCCGCGCGGCGGCCCCGACGAAGAGCGACGAGGGCGAGCAACGACGACCAACGGCGGCGGCGGCGGCGGCGACGACGACGACGACCGACGACCGACGACCGACCGACGACCGAGGACCGAGGACGAGGACGACGACGAGCGACGACGAGGAGGGCGAGGACGAGCGATGGCGACGGCGAGGACGAGCGACGACAACTACGACGAGGACAAGGGCGACGGTCGACGAGGGCGACGAGGACGACGAGCGACGAGCGACGAGAACGGCGAGCGACGAGCGAGTGGCGGCGACGAGGACGACGAGGACTAGGGGACTCCGGGGGCACGTCGGCTGATTGCCTCGCCGATCCTGGGCAGAGCCCGGCGGGCTGCAGGGTCGGTGTCCGGTGCGTTTTCTCGGCTTGGCCTCCCATGGCTCGGTGAGGTCCGGGTGCCCCCAGTCGACGTGGTGACCACACCGTCTGGTGATCGTTTTTTCATTCATCGTTTTGCCGATCGGCGCGGGCCCTCCCCCTCTCTCTCTCGCCCCCCCACCCCAATGGAGTAGATCTTGGCTGTTTGTGGCGCCCGCTTCAAGCAGGCGGAGTCTCTCCCCCATGGGACGCACGGTTGCAAACAGTCGCATTCAGCAGGGGTCCGGAGCCAGACAACCCCCCCCCTTCCCCCTCTCACCCTCAGGCCCAATAGGCCCAATGTCGAAACGCCGAATAAGAAAACGCTCGCACTGGTGAGGCAGTGGGGACTCGGGGTCACCTCACGGTTTTGGGGCCTGGGGCGATCCCCCAGGCAGTCTCGGGCGGGGAGCGCGCAGCAGTTGCCCCCGATGTGTTCTGAGAGCTCGTGCACGGGTGTCGCCATCTCGTTTTCTCCTCCCTCTCCCGTTGTCCTTCGCTCCTTCCCCCTCCCGACCTTAACTCCCTCGTCAAGTGATCGTTGTTTTATTGTTTGTTTTGCCGATCGGCGCGGGCCCTCGCCCTCCCCCCCCTTTGGAGTAGATCTTGGCTGTTTTGGGCGCCCGTTTCAGGCAGGTAGAAAATCTCTCCCCCCTAGGACCCAGTGTTGCAGACAGTCGCACGAAGCAGAGGTCCAGAGCCAGACCCCGCCCCTTCCGCCCAATGTGGAGACGCCGAAGAACAAAAAAATGCTCGCCAACGTCTTCGGCTCACCTTGGAGGAGCGGGCGAGAACGGTCTGGCGCTGAGACCGCTTGCCGACTCCCTCGTCGGTGGTACATCGTCCCTCACATACTTACCGTACTGGTCTTTGGGGGGAGCAGAGGAGCAGTTTGAGGAAGAGGGCAAGCAGGATGACGCGCTGAGCAAAGTAGGATGCGGAGGGACGACGAGGAAAAGGGAGAGGAGTCTCAACCGATAGCAGCACACTAGGTCTGTCTCGGGATGTACGTGATCTGATTATCTTGATAATCTGGGAAAGAATACGCAACCTCTTCCTGTGACTCAGGGGCCCCTGAACATCAAACGGCAGCGGTACAGCCATAATCAAACACTGTGCTAATAACCAATGCAACTGACACTGCATACACGAATGAAAACTCAATGAAACAAGGGTGGTATTGACACGGGCAGAAAAAGGAGTTAGCACAGATACATTACAAACCACACTGCCTAAACTCAGGGTTCCCCGGACGTTTACCAGGAGACTCAAACGGCGAACTCAAACTAAAGCTGAAAATTCCAAGCTTTCGGGAACGAGACCGAAACAAAACCACAGATACACATCACTGTCACCGCAGGTCCCCTGCACAAACCAGTCAAACTCGAATGTGAAACATACCGGCGGTCGCGTCAGCGACATACATCTCCTTAATTATTTCAGCACGCCGGGCGATCGGTCGATCTCGCCAGGCAAGCTAGTCCGCGCCTCGTGGGCGCTCATCTGGGTGTGCATCACGATGCACATCAGCTCCTGCGGCATCGCCGCCACGTAGCCGTAGGCTGGGTCCCCGTCGTCGTCCTCTATCCGATGAAAGCTCCGTGTGCGTACTCGGGCAGCGGCTGGAACCTCGGCGTCTGCGCATCCTGGTTGTAGCGGCATTGCGCCTGGCACATCATGTGGCGCACCTTCTTCTGGCGTGGCTGCTTGGTGTTCACACCTGTCGTCATCATCTCGGCCCCCTCGACGTAGTGCTTCGTCGTCATGCTGGGGTTCGGCTCGGTCTCAGGCTCACGCGGCCTGATGCTCTTCTGCTCAGCGTCCGTCGTAGTCCAGCGTGTCCAACAGGTGCCGACCCAAAATCCACAGCCGAAAGCCACGAGCATCGCCATCATGAGTCCGAACATGGCCAGCTTCACCAGCAGGTTGTCCCAGCCGTCGTTGGTCGGTGGGTGGAACAGCTCGACGCCGCTGGGCGTATACTGTACCACCTCAGCTCCAGAGCCTGTCGCTCTCGTAGCCGCCAACGCAGCTGCCAAACGGGCTCCATTCGCGCCAAAATGGCGCGTCCTGGCCTTAGCCTTCGCCTTCGCCACGGGTTCCTTCTCGAAGGTGTCGAGCAACTCCTCTCCTGCCTGGTCCAGCTCCTTCTCGCGTTGCTCCATCGCGCGCTTGGTGAGCTTCTTGCCGGCCACGAAGTCGGGGTCGTAGCGCAAGGCATGAACTCCACGGCGTAACGCATCCGCCATCATCTGGCGCGCCGAAAGCTTGGTGAGCTCGTCCGTCATCTGCTGCTGGGTGTTCACCCACTTCCACCCGGCGTTGACCTCCGCCAGCTGCTCGTTCACGATCTTCATCTCGATGGCCGTCCTCTTCTCTGCGATGCCCAACCCCGCCGTAGCTGACCGCGAGGCGTCGTAGAGGCACTTCGCGTCTGTGATGAACGGTGACTCTCCGAGCTATGTCATGGCGGCGTCATGTCCGAGGTCGGGCCTCAGACTCAGGGCCAAAAAGACCTTCACCCACATCAGCGAGTCGGCTCCCATCGCCGCGGCTTGTGCCTCGGCGGACAGTGAGCTCTTGCACAACCGCACCAGCTTCTTCGAGGCCCACTCCATGGCCACGAACGGCGTCGGGGCGCCGGCGTTGAGCTCGTCCTCGGGTCCGACGAAGATCTGATAGCCTCCTTGGGAACTTCCGTCAGGTCGGCTGGCCCAGCTCGCATCTGAGTAGCCTCCAACGCGCAACTCACTCCACGGCCTGTCGAAGCCGAAGTACAATCCCACGTCCGCGTTGGCCTTCAGGAGCCGTAAATCTTTGTTCGCGTCCAGCAAGTCTTGCACCGTCGCATGTCCAGTCGATGCGGCTCTGAACGATGCCGTCGCCGCCGCGATGATAACCCCCTGGGCTGCCGGCCACTGCAGCTGGCCGTTCAGGGTCCTCAAAATTGGTGAGCTCCTTCGGCGACAGCGCACTGGTGGGATCTGCCCGCCGGTGCGTCTCCACGGTGATGGGCTTCACCGCGTGCAGGTACTTCTCGAACTTGATGGTGATCGCGTGGGAGCTCAGGGACTGCTCCACCTCGCCGCCGGTGAAGACTAGGCTCGGCCCGAACTCCCACTTGCCGAACTTGAACTTCTCGTTGAGCATGCCCAGCCGCGCCTGGAAGCACTCGGTGTCGTCCAGCTTGGCGTACAGGTCATCCTCGCAACTCACGTTCTCGCCGCAGCCGATGAAGTCGCCCGCGCGCTTGCCGATCAGCCCGTCCACCACGAACGTCTGGCCGTCGAAGCTGCGCGCGTCGAACGGGCCGTCTGGTGTACAAGCATTTCCCTCATCTCCTTCGTCGGGCTCGCGTACAGCTTGATGCCGCGGGCACTGACGTCCTCGGCCTGCAGGAACGCGGACTTCACATCCGCAGCGAACAGCCTCCACTTCCTCAAGGCCGCCCAAAGCAAGACCGTGTGTCGGCCAAGCCTGCTCAAAGTGGGCGCCTCCTTGTCGAGCTGGCCCTCGGCCACGTCTCGGTGCTTGAAACCCTGGTAGAGCACTCGCGCGTTGGCCACTCGCTTTCCGTCCTTCACCTTCCACTTCAGCAGGAAGCGTAGCGGGCAGCGCGCCGCTGGGTCCACCTCCGCCTCGTCGATGGGTTCCAGCCGTCGTTCTTGTTGAACACCTCGAGGGCCTCCAGCTTGGCTGCGTAGAACTGCTCCCGCCCTTCGGGTGCGAGCCTCCCCTCCACGATGGTGGGAGCCTTCCCTTGAAAGCCAGCATGTAGATCGTCTCGGTGGATTCCTCCAACAACATCATCTCGTCGCCCACCTCCTCGATGAGACACGACTCCTCCTGCTGCGGCGCGAGCCTGGCCCGCGACATGCGGGCGCGTTTTGCCGAGGGGATGCCGTCCAGCTTCTCGGCCTCCTCGATGCTCCTCTTGGCGGACTCGACTCGGCTCCCTCGCAGCGTTGCCACGCTCTCGCGCAGCGCTGGCCCCCGAAGGTGCGGGGTCTGGAGCCGCCTCCTCGCCACCCTCGGCTGGCTGGTGGGCCTCGGGAGCTGCCGCGGCAGCCGCTCCACTCGGCCCCTCTCGTTCTCGTCCATCTCGATCTCCATCGCGGTGTCCCTGGGCGTCGGGCTGCTGCGCGCCCATGTCGCCCAGGGCGTCGTCGTACTGGGGCCGCTGGCCCCCCTCGGCGAGGTCACTGAAGCTGCAGGTTCCCTTGGTCCGCCTCAACGCCCTCCTCAGCTTCTCGATGGTGCTGAGTGGGCTGTCGGGATCCTCGCGTCGTCCTTCTCGCTCTCGGGTCTCACTTGGCAGCTCGGGACGGAGCTGCTCCACCGTGCATCGGTAGATCGTGCGCCCGTGCGTGACCCACGCCACGGACGTGTGCATCACGTCGTCCTCGTTGACCTTCGACTCCACCGCCACCACTTACGCCGGGCCATGCCAGTGGCACTTCTCCAGGCCCGTCGACATCTCGGGTCGCCAGAAGTAGACCCAATCGCCGATCTGGCACTCGCGGCGCGTCGGCCTGCTGCGCGCCAACAGCGCAGCTCGCACGGCACGAGAGCAGTTGGCCTCGATGAAAGCCGCCCCCGCCGCAGCGCGCTCGCATCATTGCGCGCACCTCGCTCTTGGGGTCGACCAACGCAGCCTGCTCCGCCAGGCCGAAGTCCTCGTCGCACAAAGCGCCAGGTACCTTGGGCTGCGTGCCCAACACCAGCGTCGCGGGCGAATACCCGCGCGCGTTCCGTAAGATGTTCCGCTGGCTGGCGGTCATCCTGAGCGCGGTCTTGAGCGAGTCGTCGGGAAACTGCAGGTGGTACTTGCTGAGTTGCTCGCTCTTGACCGCATGGTTGCGCTCCATGAGTCCGAGCTTGTGGTGCGCGCCCTTCGGGTTCAGGTCGAGTGTGATGTTGTGCTTGCTCATCCACTGGTGCATCCTTCTTGACGTGTGCGAGCCTGCCATGTCCATCCTCATGGTGTCGGGCTTGCCAGCCCAGCTGATCCACAACTTCTGAAACAGCTACACCTCCTTCTTGAAAGTCCCCTTCGCGATCGGGTAATCCACTTCGCAGCGCGTGAACTCATCCATCATGGCCAAGATCTTTCGCCCCTTGTTCGTTCTTCCAGGTGACGTAGTAGACGTCGGTGTTCACGACCTCGTTGAACCGTTTCGCTGTCGGCAGTACAGCTACGCGCACTGCTCGAGGTCGTTGCTTGCTCAGGCAAACTTCACACTGGAAGAGCTTGGCGCACTGAAGCCACTCGGCCGGGGCCTTCGCGTGCTTCATGGCGGTCGCCAGCGCCGCGTTGGAGGGATGGCCCAGACTGATGTGAGCGCGCTTGACCTCCCGGATCGTCGACACGTTGAACCGCTTCATCAGTTCCTGCATCACGTCGGTGTATCCGATGGCGTCGATGTCCTTGGAGACCTCCTCGGCGGTGTTGATATCCTCAATGTCGTCGGCCATGCCCTGATAGGCGACCAGGTAGGCCATCCTTCGCGCCATCGGTCTCGGGTAGTTCTGAGCCTGCTGGGCAAGCTTGCCGCGCAAGGCCCCGTGCTCCTCGGTACAGCTGCATTTCATGTTCACGTGGTGTACAAGCTCCTTGTTCGCGGACTGGAGTCGCGTAGGCTTCTGGCACGGCTTAAGCTGACACTGGATCTCGAACCTCGCGCCCAGCCTGCGCTGGTCGAGCCGGCAGTGACATCCAGGTAGCTCCTGCCAGGTCTTGGTCTGCCAGTGTAGCCCTTGCCGCGGGCCTTCTACATACGCATGACGTCCACCGTTCTGCTGCTTCACAAATGAGTCCCGAACCATCTTGAGGAACGTCTCTTCCTCTCTCTGTCTGGTGAGGTTGATCTCCTTCGCGCGTTCCTCCGAAAGCTTCTCATTGACACGTTGTCAAGAGCACCAGATCCTGCATGGGGGTGCGGAGAAGATGTCATCGGGCTTCTCCTCATCGATCTCACTCAAGAAGCAGCGAATCACGCTGGGCTTGGAAAAGTCCCAGCCATCGGCCAGCCTGAACTGGATCACCTTGACCTGTGGGAACTCCAGCAGCTCCTCCGACAAAGCCCCTTGGTCCACGAAGACCTCCCAGACCACGCGTTCGCGGGGTCCTCTGAGCGTATCCCTCATGTCGGTCTCCGCTTGCTCCAGGGCCAAGATCAGGTCTGAGTAGGTGTCCGCGTCCATGTCTGAGAACCTCTCGGTCGTCAGCGCCTCGTCGTCGCTACCGATGTCGTAGAACTCCGGGGCGGTCTCGAGGTAGTAGGCATCGGCGTCTGGCACCGACGAGTCGCTGCCATCGTCGGTCTCTCCCTTCACCGAACTCCCCTCCGAGTCCTTGTCCGTCGAGTCGTCGCTGCTCTCCTCGCCGCCCGTGGGAGCGCCCTCGTTCATGGCGTCGTCTGCTTCCTTCCCAGCGCTGCCCAACAGATCAATGATGAAGTGGCCTTTCTCATCGCGCTCGGACTTCATCCAACCTTTGTCGGGGAGGTCCTTCATCATGAACGCACCTGCTCGGTAGTCCCGAATGAGACCCCACTCCTCCGCGCAGGGCCTGGCGATGAGCAGCGGCGTCCACCCCTCGACGAGGCGGGTGGCGACTTGCTTCGTGATGCCGAACGGCCACACCGACAACGTCACCGCCTTCTTCGCCTCCAGCGTCTTCCCGTCTCCGAACCTGAACCGTCGATCACTTTTCTCATACTTGACCTCGTGCAGCAACTGCTTCACGCGCAGCAGCTTCTCCCACTGCGCCCAGACCTTGTCGTCCATGACGGGCCGCGTAGCGCCTCCGTCGCTGATGCCCTTGCCGACTGTCAGCAGGAACACCTCCTCGGTCGAATTCGCGTACTCCAACGTCTCGACGTCCTCGACCATGTTGCCTGACTCGGTCTCCGTCTTGGTGAACCCGCCGCGACGGAATCTCTTGAACCTCGGGCCGCGCTGCTGCGTTGAGCCCGTCCCGGTTGATCCCGCACTCGATGCAGCCGGTGAGCGGGCGAAAAGGGTCTTCGGGAACTTGAACGCTGATGGATCTCGTCGTGGCTGACTTGATCCTTTGCCTTTGCCGCGTCCACGTCCCTTGCCTATGCCTGGGGCTCGGGCAGGTCGTGATTCACGGTAGTTGTTGTCGGGCGCCACGGCGACGATCGGGTAGAAGCGTCTGGACTTCGCGATCTCCGCCACGCGCTTCTTCGCATCCACGAAACTCAGGTAGGCCTCGTCGCGCGCGAGCTGCGCGTCCTCGACATCTTGCGGTGGCTCCTCTGCGATCTCGGCCTACTCGTCTACGTCTTCGTACTCGTACTCGTCTTCGTCTTCATACTCTTCCTCCTCCAGGTACGTGTCTTCGTAGCTCAGGCCTCGCTCCCACTCGTAGTCGTTTGTGTAATGAGCGTCGTCCTTGGCATTCTGCCCGAGCAGCATCTTCTCCACTCGTTTGATGTCACGCTTGTCGGGCAGACCCTCGGCTCCATACGTGTCGAGTAGAGCTTTCTTCACATTTTGCCAGCTGAGGCCGTCTACGCATTGACTCCGAACCTGGGCGGCACCTGACGGCGGGATCGCCGCTCTCGTGAGGAGGTGCCAGCCCGCTAGCATATCTGGAATCTCCATCCCCACTTCCTTCAGTTTCCTGAGGTCGCGCTGATGGCGTAGGCAGCACAACTTCATGGACTCCTTCTCCTGGCGGGCGAACCTGCCGAAGAACTGATCCGTCCGGGCTGGCAGCTCAGTCCAGTTGTCGTATTTGTAGTACTCGTCCAGGACCTTGAACAGCGGCCTGAAGGCCTCGTCTGTCTCTAGCAGGTCCAGGTCGATCTCCTCCGTTGCCTCGGCCGCCTCTCCTTGCAGCGAGTTCGTGACCAGGAAAGCCCCCTCGCTGATGGCGGTCGTGCCGCGCTTGCGGCAACACCTCTCGAAAACCTCCTAGCTTTCGTATGACAACTCGGTAGCCGTCGGTCTTCAGCAGCTCGTAGCTGGGCGTCGTCTTGGACAGGCCAGCATCGAGTCCTCTTCCCCCGTCCCAGGTCGAACTCTCCTGGCGCCACCAGCCTCCGCCTGTCCAGCCAGCCCACTCTTCGGCGTAGGCTGCCTCGTCGCCCTCGCTGCCGGGGACCCGGGTGGTCGCGGCAGCAGGGTCCACGCCGCTGGCGGCCGAAGCGGCAGCGGCGGCAGGAGGCGGTGTGCCCGGCGGTTTCGCCGGCGGCGGTCCTGGCGGCTTCGCCGGTCCGCGGGGCGGCGCCTCGCCGGCGGGCATGGCGGCTTCGACGGGGATGCCGGAGATGGGTGTGGATCTCCGGCTCCGCCACCAATCTCAACCGATGGCAGCACACTAGGTCTGTCTCGGGATGCACGTGATCTGATTATCTTGATAATCTGGGAAAGAATACGCAACCTTTTCCTGTGACTCAGGGGCCCCTGAACATCAAACGGCAGCGGTACAGCCATAATCAAACATTGTGCTAATAACCGATGTAACTGACACTGCATACACGAACGAAAACTCAATGAAACAAGGGTGGTATTGACAAGGAGGAGGTAGAGGAGGAGCGAAGCACGAGGACGGGAAGGACAAGAGGAGGAGGAGGAGGAGGACCAGAGTGGACTCCGGATGCGTCAACTATGTTGCAATACGCGCACCCGCCCAAGTCCCCTTCTCATTAGTCCAAAAAATAGTTTTGCAATGCTGGAGAAAGCCCCCCTTGCGCTCCGTGGTCCCTCAGGGAAGAGTCACGTTTTGAAAAGGAGCTGTCGTCCATACAGCCACGACGACTGCGACAAGATATGATCGTAAAGTCCAAGCAAGTGTCCAGCGAGTGCCGCTATTGAGAATGAGGCGGCACCATTCCGTGCACGTGTCTTTTCAATTTGAAACGCTTGGCCATGAGGCCTCGATTTGGAAATGAGCTGCCCTCCATCCATGTGACTGCTGCACGCTGTTTGAGTTTCCATCGCAATTCCAGGAATGGAGGTGGAACCGCCCCCAATCCGTTGAACTTAGTCGTGAGAAGTTTGACGACGAATGTGCGCGGCGCTAAGGAGATAGCCATACATTGAAAACGACTTAAGCTCCATCCGTGAACGTGCTGGAAGCTTCCACGACACAGGTGCGCGACGCTGAGACGAGAGCCTCATTTTGTGAAGGATCCGCCATCCGTCCATGTAGCTGTTGGAAACTATTCGGACGAGTGTGCGCGGCGCTCAGGCGAGAGCCACATGTTGAACATTGATTGCCCTCAATTCGCGCTACTGTCGGAAGCCTTTATGACGACTGTGCGCGTCGCTAGTGCGAGTGCCACATTCTGAACGGCATGTAGTTTATCCGCGTAATTGCTGTGGGGTCTGTTTGGGACGAATGTGCGTGGCGCTCATGCGATAGCCACGTTTTGATTGTTGGGAACTGTTACAACAGGCGAGAACACCATTTTGAAGACCACCACCCCTTTCCATCGTGTAGTTGCTGAGAGTTTTTACGACGAGTGTGCTCCGGGCCAACGCGATAGCTAGGATGAATTTACGCGGCGTTTCAGGCGAGAGCCACATATTGGCAACAATCCACGCCTTTCCATCCGTGTGGCGGTCGGAAGCGTTTAAGACGAATGCGCGCTGCTTTATGGCGAGAGCCATTTTCTGGAAACGACCTGTACTCCATTCATGTTGCTGCTGTTGGGAACTTTCAAGACGAACGTGTTCCGTGCTTAGGCGAGAACTACATCTTGGCAACCGCCACCCCCTTCAGAATGTGTGCGGCGCCCATGAGAAGCGCATATAGGAATTTACCTGTTCTCAATCCGTTGAGCTGTTACGAGCTCTTACGGCGAATGTGCGCGGCGCAAAGGCGACAGTCACATTTTGAGAATCGCCCATCGCTTCCATCCGTGTAACGGTTACAGATTTCAATATTGGGGGTCGTAAGTTCGGGGGACGTCTCAGGCGAACTGCAGAGCCCGCCCTACCGACACGGGGTAAGATACCAGGAAGTTGGATGAAAGAGGATGGTGGGAGATGAGGGACAACAGGATGGGGCAGCAGGATGAAAGGAACATGGTGTGAGGGAGGATGAGGAGGAGGACCTAGAGGTGCAGGGGAAGATCAGGACGACAGAAAGGTCATGGCGGAAGAGGAGCGAAGGAACATGCGGGGGGAGATGCGTGGGGGAGGAGATCCCTCCCCCCACGCATCCCCCCGCCCTTCTTCCTCGAATCCTCTTCCTCGAATTCTCTTCCTCCTTCCCAGTAGGAGGAAGAGAATTGTTGACGCTTCGAGTATCCCCACCAGCGGTCCGTAGCCTCTGGCTCAAGTGCGCCACATCGTGCAATATTATCTTCAGTACCGCGCTTGCGTGTTCGTCGATGCCGAGGTCTAAGCTTGCCTGGCTCGCTTGCCTAAGGCTGCAGACCGCGTGCGCGCTGCGTGGCATGAGCGAAAGCAGCCTTGCGCGCGTGAGTTCCACAATCGCAGATCCTGAGTGCAAGGGTCGAAAGCCGCAATGGACTCAAGACGGCCCAGTCAAGCGTTTGAAAGGGCCAGTGTTTAATATTCACATACCGGGTCCGTATCATACTGCAGGACGCCATATGTTTACAATGGCTGACAGTGTTGGTCATATGAATTGGACCAAGTACCAGAGGTGGTCAGATCTGAAGAAGGCAGAGCTATGGGAAGACATGCACTGGACCGATCTTGAGGATAGGTTCTTAGAAGGACGCAGTTTAGGTGATCTTGGCTGCGGGACCAGCAAAGCGACGATACTCAGCACTGTCGCGCGCCACCCTCTCAATATGTTTTTGCACAGGTGGTTTGCGTGCAACGACTGGAACAAACTAAAACACAATGATTCGGAGCCGTGTACTGGCGATGCCCTCAAGGCGGACAAAGTTTGTCAGCACAACGATCCTGTCTGCCAATTGGGAGATGAGCCATGCAAGTATGACAACGTCATTCTTCAAGCGTTCGCTGGAGGTGATCGTGTAAAGACCCGGGCAGATCTCGAGCTGGCCAAATCTCGATTGCGTGAGTTCGATTTGATTTTCATTGTTGAGCATTTCAGCCACACCCTTCAGCTTACCACCACGCGATTGGGATGGAGGCCACGACCACTATCAGATGCACTGAATTCTACACTTCACAAGGCTGAGGAGAAGGAAAACCAAGAACGGTTCACGAGTAGTGGTATCACTCCCGAGCAATGGCAACGAGTTATTGAGCGTAACAGTCTCGACATTGAGCTCTACGACTACATGCGCGAGCTATCTTTTGGTATGTTGCAGGCAGATGGACTCCCAGTGCCAACAGAGGACGAGCGCGCCGTTGCCCCGAAATGGGACAGCAAAGTGCTAGTGTCGAGGCGCGCAGCAGAAGCCCACATGGAATGAGGAATCCTCATGAGCAGTCTCGGAATCAGCATCCACTCTTTCTGGTGCTGTCGCATGCCCGCCTGTTGTTGCCCGTTCCTCCTCCTCAACCTCACCTTGTGATTATGATGCACCCCCCCCCTGAAGAGGAAGACGGGGAGTAAGCGGAACAGGGCCATACGCCAGGGGCCCTGCACATGAACCCTCACATTGCTCTCCCCCCAACCTCCCAGCCCTCCGTGTCCTCGTCCTTCCCCTCCTTCCTTGCCGTCCTCTGAGGAGCAGCCTGGACATCCTGCCCCCCGTTGTTCTGAAAAACACGTTTGGGCAACCCACGCGTTTTCGGCATCGGTTTTGGGCGCAAGTTTGCCACGGTCTCATGTCCCGGATCGGCCTGTGGCCCATTTGCCGTCGCTTTACCGTGTCCATGATGTGCTGTAATACGAGTACACGTGCACTAGAAGTGAAATCTCAATGGCGGTTCCTTGACGTCCATTCTGTGAGCTGCGGTTTGCAAACCGTTTAGCTTATTTCATTTTAGCTTAGCTTAGGTTCATCTGACCTCAGTTGTATCTTAGCTAGCTTACCTTCATCTTAGCTTCGTTGATATTTAGCAGAGCACAGCATAACATAGCGTAGCATAGCATAGCGCAGCATCGCATATCACTGCATGGGTGTAATTTCCTATCTAGGCTCTGCTTCGAGGGCTAGTTTGTCTTAGCTTAACTTAGCATAGCGCAGCGCTGCATTAGCATAACATAGCATAGCAGAACATAGCCAATCATAGCATATCATAGCGCATCATATCATAGCATAGAATATCATAGCATAGCATCGCATAGCGCAGCTTAGCATAACATAGCATAGCTAAGCTTAATGGGCCGGGCAGTGGGGCTCGCCCCGGGCGGTTCCCCCGGCATCCGCCCCGCGGTTCCCCCAGTGACGTTCCCTTAGCTTCGCTTTGCTTATCTCATCTTAGCTTAGCTTATGTCATACTACCTTGGCTTAGCGCCATCTTACTTCAGTTGTATCTTAGCTTAGCTTACCTTCATCTTAGCTTCGCTGAGCTTTAACATAGCATAGCATGCACACGCGCAGCACAGCAGAGCGTAGCATAGCACAGCAGCAACGCAAAGGCAAAACAACAGCAACGACAGCAAAGCAAAGCACAAGCATCGCAAGGCAAAGCAAAGCAAAAGCAAACGTAAAGCAAAAGCAAAAGCAATGTGCAACAGATGCCGAGCTGGCCTCGATGGCCGGACCAGAACCCCCGCAAGCAGTGCCTTCCGTAACCATTCCGGCTCAAGTCCGGAGGCCCCTGCCGCACAGCCGCCCGCGCTCGTGTCCCGAGGTTGGCGGCGCGAGGCGTTCAGCGGTGCTGCAGAGCCCGCCTCGGCACCAGGTGGTGCTGCACAGCCCACCCAGCCTGTTGTGGCCATCGATGTGGGCGACGTCGCGTCCAAGCGGAACGACGATGAGCGGGCTGGCGGCAGCATGATGTACACGGCTGTCGAGGATGGCTTCTGGGCGTTCGTTGTGCTCTTTGCGGCTGAGCACGGTGTGCAAGAAATGCACTTCATCAGTCGCACGACGCGGGGCACGTGGTACTCGCGCCATGCCCGCCTGGGCAGGGTAGAGGCTTGGGTCGTCAGGCTGATCCGGAGCACAGGCTTGCTCGAGATGGGGACGCCTGACGCGAACATCCACGTGGCGGCTCAGAAGAGCGGGGGGGGGGGGGGGCCCGGGTTGGAGGGCCCTACAATGCGTGGTGGTGTTCGAACTGGTAAGGGCTCCAGGCGGTGCCGCGTCACTGTTTCTTACGCTATTTTTGTTTTTTTTGCTTCTCAGCATTTGCAGTTGACCCACATGATCGACGACGATCTCGAGTGTCTGTGGAGTGTCT